GTCCGGCTTGTGGACGCGCCGCGGAACGACTCCTGGATCGTTTGCTTCGTTGGCGTGCCTTCCATGCTTTGCAAAAATGGAGGTTACAACAGTAGATCTGGTTGTCGACTATTTGTCCAATCACATTGCGTACATGTTACATGTTAACGATATGTTGCCGCCGCGACAAGCTCCTCGTCCAATCACAAATCGATTTTTTCAATCGACGAATCAAACTCCGATACAGTGTCGGTCATCCAACCGACGATTCAGGGATTGTCGGTTTAGTGTCGCGTGTGAATTATATGTATGGATAACATTGGAAATCCGACACTTTCATCCGACAATGATGTGATTGGTCGATACGTCAGCCAATGACATTTTATGGAGCACTTTGAGAATTTCAACAGGTTGTTCCACGTTGCCGTCCTTGGCCCGTGGCAAGCCCGACGCGGGGATCTCTTGGTACTTGGGGTCGGTCATCTTCAACCGAGCAGGCAAGTTAAGCCACAGCTGGAGCCCGATGGCGGGGGCGTCGCGGCTCGCCGGCATCTCGGCATGGACGATGCCTCGCCCGGGGCATAACCACTGCAGGTCCCCCGGCGCCAGCTCGCCCTTGTGCCCACAAAAGTATTCGAGCAGAATTATCCCAGGCGAGTGCGGAAGCAAGTACGTGATCGTTTCAAACCCGTGGTGGGAGTGGTCGGGGAATCCCCCCGATATCGCCACGTGGAACTCGTCCAGCATCAGGAACGGGTCCAGTCGCCGGAGCATGGGGTGTCCGATGGATCGGCGGACTTGGCAGAGGATTAGTACATTTCAACGAACAGTTAATCCTTTGCATTTCTATCAATGAGATTGAGCAAACCTGTTAGTCCTTCCCATTTCCACCAATCACATTCATCATATGTGCTATGTAAATTGTTATGTTGCCAAACGACAAATTGATCGCCCAATCAAAACGGTTCAAAGACATTTAGTCCAATCATATCTCAATAGCATGTCGGTTCTCCAATACCCTTCCAGAAATTTGTCGGATACATGTCGTATGCCACCAACATGTGTCCTTCACAGAGATATGAAACGTTTCATATCGTCATGAATAAAAATATAGATAAATTTTCGCAAAGAAAATGATCGGCCAATCACATTCTAGAAATTGAAAATTCTCAGGCTGACCAATGAAAATGTGTCAAGTCAGTTAAACGGCTCTGGATTGGCTGCAAGGAGGACTTGCTCAATCGAGGTATCGCTGGCTCGACGCCTGTCCAAACCATGCTCACAGCACGGAGGCAGCAACGCCCAGCAGCGCGAGATGCCAAGCAATCCCTTCGCATGGTGGCCTATCGAGAGCAGAAGAAGAAGGAGATGGCAGAACTGAAAGACAACATTCGGAAGCTGGAGAGGATTCGGTCGTTTTTACACACTACGACACTTGCACGACCTTCCAGATCTGGCAGCCTACTGTTGCCATGGCACGAAGTCGCCAAGGCACTTGCGGACCTCAGACACCTCTCCGAGTCGCAGAACCAAGCATTGAGGTCGCAGCTGAAGCATCATGAGGCTCTCGTTAGTGAAATGTATAACTGGGCTGCATCATTTCACATCAAGGTAGAGCTCATGTCTCGAGAGCCATGCATTTGATCGTGGATTCTCACTCAGAATTGCCCGGACCCAAAGCGGACATCGTGGAGGCATGTGACTCTCTTACAAGACCCAGCGTTGCGAAAACTGGGCAAGGAGTGGATCACGGAGCACATGTACCACAACACGGACACAATCTTCCGCCAGCATGGATTTCCACCTCTGCACTCGTCCAAGCACCTCCTCCAAGACTTCAATTTCACCTTTGACAATGATGAAGGGTACCATTTCACTACGAGGCACATGACGCGGTTGCCTGGGTCGGTCAACTCGTTCTTGGACCACTACAAATCGACGTTGCTACAATTCCAAAGCTGCATTCTGGATTACGATCCTTCCATGACAACTGTGAGATGTTCCGACGCGCTTCTTGATATGACCCAAACATATTCTTGTAGACAGTGGAAGATGGCGCGACCATCCAGTACACTCTTGTCACTCCTCGCCACGAATACGTGAATTTGCTCTGCGCAACGTACCGCACGATGAACCGGGTCGTGTTTGTGGGGAGGCAAATTGAAGACGACGAGGCGTACGGCGCTTGCAAAACCACTCGCCAGCGAACGCGCATGTTTTGGTACGTCCACCACGCAGACGTGTTTGGTCACGAGTGTTTCGTCAGGTGCGACTTGCACACTCTCGAGGACGGGTCGAACGTCGGCCGTGGTCTGTGGATTCAAACCCAGAGTTTTACAAAGGAAGGGGGTGTCGTCCCTTTGGAGAGAGACGCGGCTGAGTACGACATCGACCTGACGACGTGCCCACCCCACCTTTGGGAAGCCACGTTTCCATCCATGTTTGTCGACGCCGTGCTACAAAATGCACGCAGCGTCGCGGACCGTCGCCACTTGTTGACATAAAGCACCCAGCGCTAAATTATTGTTCCGGAGTGGATTTTTGCACGTTTTTCGAATTGCAGCGACATTTTTCAGAATTCTGCCGAATTCGCTGCTGGCGTCCGAGATATGGAAGGTTCTGTCGAATTTTGGCGATTCGTTTTTGCAGGCGTCGGACAGCCAGGGTCACATGAGCATATGGCTTTTTCTCCATCCTTAGATTATCTCGGCGAGTGGAGTGGTTTTAACGTCAAGATATTTACGTCCACTCCTCCACTTCGCCAGACACTAGAGTGCCCGTGCCATCATGCCCCGTATCAACACAGACAGCGTGGTCCAGTGAATCCAACAAGATTCCATGGCAGCGCGGCCGGATTCTTCTCACGGGGTCGCTTCAAAGTACTCGGAGTATAGAACAAAGTATGGAATCATGGTTTCTTTCTGTCACCGCTGATTGGGCGCTTCGTTTGGATGGCTGGCGCGTCAAGGGCCAAAATATCTGGCGCAGATGGGTGGCTGGTGTTGCATTGCCAGTATAACAATGTTATAATTCTTCGCAACAACATCAACAACCACACGTCCCCTGCCAGGTAAAAATTTCTCGGCATTGGTTGTCCCGCCTTGGGAGTTGAAAAGGCACAAGATTTGCCTACATCGCGGTTGAAATCGTGTCGTTGGAATATCCAACCTCTCGCACGTTGTCGAAAACACTCGTTCCTCCAGCATCCGCAAAACTGCTCCTTGTGGCTCTCGGAGGCTGCAATGATTTTCCATGTGGCAATCTCCTGCGTCACGGTGACTTGGAAGGCAACTGTGCGCCGTGGCGTGTGTGGTTGAGATGCCGCCAGCGGCAACTGGAGTCGTCCAGCTGGTGTGGCATGGCCGTCAAATGCCAAAGGTCGCCACGGCAGGGTATATATAACCTCGTAACAATGCTTTAACGCATAACAAAAGTTACGTTATACACACCACCGAAGCGTAATACGGTTTGGTCATCCATTACTGCCTGTGCAACCTAATAAACGTGTACAGCTTGACTTTGACGTGGTCTAAAACGCAGGTATTTCACCTGGTTTGACCCAAAATACGCCTTGGCCGTTTCGAAGCAAGACGTTTAAACGTATAGACAGCCCCGACCAATCACACCCCGCCGTCGCCCCACAATATGGAACTTCGTCCACAATCGAAATCCAATCTTATCGGACAAGGCCGCCGCCGCCTCGCCGCCGCTCCCTCCAACGTTCCTAGCCGTCCCTTCCTTCAACATGAGCGCCACGTTCGACATTGTATTGCGATCCTCCGATTTACTCGGCTGCGTGTTCGAGTACCAGGGTGGGTTCCATGAAGACATGTTGCCCTTCCAACACATTGTCCCTGCCATCCAGTCGACGACAGACGGGCAGTTCACAATCCAAGAGCAAGATTTTGACGCTCTGCATGTTATCCTCGCTCCATGGTACAAGACACATGACATCTCACGCGTCGCCAAACTGTGGGCGGATCTCCCGTTGCTGCAAGAGAGCATCGTGATCCACGCCTGCATGTATGGCTATGTCGACGTCCTTGCTTTTCTCCACAGCCGCTCCATGTTGCTGCCAGAACGATGGAGTACTAAAATGGCAATGGACGTTGCAGCTCGCAATGGTCATGTCGACGTGTTGGCCTTTCTGCACCCTCTCCTCCCCGAAGGTGCCTGCACCGTGAAAGCCATGAACTGGGCAGCCAAGTTCAACCACCTCCACGTGTTGAAGTGGCTGCACACTCACAGCACAGCCGGAGCCACCGCGATGGCGATGAACTACGCCGCCGAAGGTGGGCATTTGGAGGTTGTGAAGTGGTTGCACATGCATCGCCACGACGGGTGTACAACCGACGCCATGGATGACGCAGCTACGAACGGCCACTTGGACGTGGTGAAGTTTTTGCACGAGCATCGCACGGAAGGCTGCACATCCGACGCGATCGACGGCGCGGCCGCGGAAGGCCACTTGCATGTGGTCGAGTGGCTGCACGCTAACCGCAGCGAAGGATGCACCGAGGATGCCATGGACGAGGCGAGTGAGGCAGGACACTTAAAAGTTGTGCAGTTTCTGCACCACAACCGCAGCGAAGGGTGCACAGAAGACGCGCTCAACGACGCTGCAAAGGAAGGACATTTGGACGTGGTGAAGTTTCTTCTGGCCCATCGACACGAATGTGAGGTTGATGAGGCCATGGACTGCGCCAAACAGGCGAAGCGGCGGCATGTTGTCACATACTTGCGAGAGTACTTGGCGACTTGTTAATATGTAATGGGGATTTCGATATCTATTCGCACGATCCGTCTTCCTTCTGCCTACTGGCCATGCAGCAACTTCCATCGTTCGAGTCGCCAAGCTCCATGTGCCGCGCGTACATCCATGGTGGCAGCCCGCGTACCAAGTGCATTCAATCCAACGGGGATGCGCTAGCGATCATGGGCTCGGCCACCTTGGCACCAAGTGTCGCAAGGAGCACTGTGCACATGACAGCGGTGAAGCTCCATCGTCATAGGATATGATGGCTATCCCCAGAATGGATTGGTTCTGTGGGGAAGTTTGACAGTTACGCGCACATTCGAAAGTTGATCGGCTCGGAGTCAACGTCGCTGATAATGGAAGAATCGAGCGGAATCTCAAGGGTCGTGAGCTTTTTGAAAGGAGAACGACGGCGTGGGTGATGCCTTTGACGCGAAAGAATCAAGGCATTGAAGCCAATCCAGATACATCCACCTCACGCGCCCCGCCTCCTATGCCCACGTGACATGTACGGACTGCGCACATTCACTGTTGTCCCATATTAAACGTTCCCGCACTCGACGAAGGTGCGTTCACCAGTGTGTCGTCGTCGCACTACCTCATTTTGCGGCCCTGTCTTGTTGCTCGTCCTTACTTTCACGTTGGTCGTCGAGTGCCGGTATGGTCGCGCAAACTCCAGCTGCGTCGGCCTGTGTACTTCCCAACAGCGTCGCTCTATGCGCCATCCATCCACATCATGGAATTGCAAAGCTCCACCTCCGCCGTTGGACAAGGAGAACTCCGACTAAGTCCAACGAGAGCCACTGCAACTAGGCAACATGCCGTACAAGAGCGACGTACACATCTTCTCCGACCACCTGTCCTGCCGATGTGCTCTGGCAGCACGTGCTGGAACACCTCGTTTCATATCGTCGAGATTAAGGGCAACCCGTGAGTCGGCTGGGGGAACGACCTTATCCCGCCATAGTACGCGTGCAATGAACCCACCATTCGCGACAAAGCCGTCAAGGCAGCGATGCATTGAGGCCACGTAGCGAGCGATCCTTCATCAGCCGTTGTGTGGGAGTGCCGCCACAGACCCATCTCATACCTTATCTGCGATAAGTTGAATAATCAAAAATTGGTTAATTTATCGATAGATGCAAAAATCGAAAATTATCTTTTACGATTACGAGTCGAATTCACCGGATCAGCTCTCTGTTGCTTTAAAAACAATCAAAACGAATTGATTGGATAAAATATTGTATCACTGCGTTTTTATTGGCTGTTGAAGAATGGAATGAGTTGAGAACGATCAACATTCCGCAATTCAAAACCACCGATATCTCAACATTGAAACTCACCTGTCGACAAGTCGCCGCCGCCTCCTGCTGTCGCCATGATAGCGAACCTGGGCTTGCCTCCGAAGCAAAGCCCTCTCCATCGATCGTACTCGAGTCCGGACGTTCATTTTTCGTCCCTTCACACCACACAACGACGTCCACGCTTTTCCCACCGCTCGTCGACGCTCCCCTTGTCCCCACCGTCGTCTTCGGTCCGCGACCCCCCTGTGGATGTGTTCTTAGGCGGAGTACGTTCGCGTGGCGAGTACAACGATGTACTTTATTCATGTGACTTGTGTAGAGCTGTAACCCGACAACATGGCGTCGCGATACGGCGATTCCTCGCCTTGAGGAGGCCGGCATCTCGTACTTCAACCCTCAAGTCGACGAATGGCACGAGGGTCTCATTGCTTTGGAATCGCGCGCAAAGGACACCGGTATATGCACGCAAATACCGCTAGCGTTCTAATGGATGTGCTCTAGCGACGGTCGTCTTGTTTGTTATCGACAACTGCACGCGGGCAATTGTGAGCATGAACGAAGCAGCCGAGTTCATGTGCTGCGGACGTCGCGTTCTTCTCGTCGTACAAGACATGCCGCTGCATGAGGACGTCATTTTGGAAGGATCACGTTTGTCGTCGTTGGAGATAGCCGACCTCAACGACGCCCGAGCTTGTTTGCGGCACTTCACCAAGGACTACCCCCAGACGACGCTGTGCGCTTCCGTGGAAGAGGCTGTGGACATCTTGACGTCGCAGCTTCAATTGCAACTAGAGGACCGTCCGTCCAGTCCCTTCTCGCTACGTTCCAATCGACTTCGCAAGCGGTCGTCGGTCATTCTGAGCCAGATGAAGCGAAAACCCGATCGATTCCTTCAGCGGTCGTGCTCGTCCAGCTCGATCATCGAGTACGACGACGGTGGGAGCTCTGACGACGACTCCGTCCCGAACGACACGACCACGGTCAAGAAGGTGTACCTAGGGGGCAACATAACCAACACGAACTGGCGCGCGACGCAAGCGATTCCGCGGCTCCAAGCTGCTGGTCTTCCGTACTACAGCCCCCTCGGCGACTTCCACTACATCCCGACAGCACATGGACGAGAAGAGCGCAAGATGGACAAACACATGAAAATCAAGGCGGGGTTGGTGCTCATGGTTATCCCCAATACATGCCGCAGCATTGCGGCCATGATCGATACGATAGCACTTGTGTGCAGCGGTCGCGCCGTCATGCTGGTCGTCGAGCCCATGACGGAAGGCATGATCGTCGAAGACGGAAGCGCTGTGTATGGTAGGGAGTTCAAAGACCTGATGCGGGCAAGACTGTATTTGGAGGAGACGGCAGCGCGCCACGACATTTGTACATTCGACTCGGTCGCGGACGCGATCGACGCAATTGTGTCCAAAGCATCGTCGTCGGCGGCGCACGCGCGAAACCTTTAGCGAAGTTGCTGCCGAGAACACATATCGAGTAACTAGAATGCAGGACATCTTGTGTCGCAAGGCATACCCACGGAGAATCCTTGCTGTCCCTGGCTAGCATGGCCATCTCACATGTGGCCAAGGTTAAGGCTGCGGGCAGAGCGCATGCGGGCATGGATACTGGAAATGTTCTTCGAGGAGCACGGCGATCCCCAGATCGCGGCACCCAACTCCTCGTCGCCGTTCCGCACAGCCCAAAAACTGCCTCACTTGCCACAACACTTTCGTTGCAAAGGATGGACTCGTGCATGAAAGAGTTGAAAAGCTCGGCAGCTGCAGCGCACGCGACTTAGTCCCAACCTTGAGTTTAAGCCAGCCGAATCTGTTGCATGGAGGCCCACCCATCGTACACCATCGCTATGTGTGATGTAATCGGTGGCAATCACCATTACCACTGTGTTGTGCGACACCACCGACGCGAATGAGGACGCCGCCGGGGCCAATACACAAAGTCGATGGCGCGATTTCTTTCGCACAAAGTCTGGCGACGGTGCTGCCGCTAACGATACGGTTTTCGGAGGAAGCGGCGATGGGAAACCAAGTCGAGGACCTCCGAGGCGGTGACAAGCCTCGTAGGCAAGAAGTGGCATGTTGGCGCTTCGTGGTCACACTATGGCGGTTCGTCCAGGGTGGAGGTGCCCTCAAGCGATGCGGCCATCGGGGCGGATGCTTTTTCACGACTCATCGAAACAAGAATACGACAACACAAGATGGCGCCATGTCACAATAGTTTAAGTGTTGGAGTATGCCGATTGCTTCAAGGGTCGCAAAGGTTACGTGGTTAGTTCGACACAACAGTGCCAATGAGGGCGACGCCGCCTTTGCCAGTGGGGGTTTCGACGTCCAGCACGCCTTGGATGGGTCCAGGGGCGGCAAAGGTTATGATCAGGGTGACGGTGGCTCGCAGGCCGGGGGCCAATTTCGCCTTGTCTTTGTCATATTCAGCCTACGGAACGACGTTCAATGAGATATCATACGTTGTCCTTGGGTCCCCGCACCACGGCCTGGAGGCACTCGACGCCGCCGCTCTTGACTGTCAGAGATCGAATGCGGAACCGCTCTTGTTTCGTCCCGACGTTGTGCACTTTGACGGGAAAGTGATAGGTCTGTTTGGCTGTGACCATGTGGAAGTTGACGATGCTCGGTTCGATGTCGACGACGGAGAATGTCGCTGTTGTTTTGTCGGAGGCATCTGCATGGTGTCCAAAGGGGGACGGCTTTGGCGAAGCCACCGGCGAGTGCGGCCAATGCAGTGTGTCCTTATAATCGGATGAGTACGGTCGAGTGTGCGGCGAGTGGGACTTGGGGGAAGATGGCGTGGCTAACGTAAGGCCATCGGACGTGCTAGGTCGCCGTGTGAGTTGCTGCTGCGCCAGGGCGTATTTGGGGATCCTGGCTTTGGCGAACGAGTGCTGGGCTACAGGGCGCGGCGAGTACAGATGCTGCCGTACCAGCGCTGCAAAGGACGCATCTTCCGACAAATCGACATGACGCCCGACGGCTGCCTTTTCTTTGAACGGACTCCCGAGTATTCGTTGGGACAGCGCGGGCAACGTAATGGTTGCTCGAGGCACGGACGTCGAGTTACTCTGGACGAGAGTGTAGTGGCCTCGATCCGTGAGCATCCAAACACCGTCGCCCGTTTCTTTCCTGCATAAACAATTCGGTGATGGACCCAGTACGACTCGAATGTGGACGGACCAGAGGGGTTCGTGATGGGTGGCCACGGACACGCGGACGTCATGAGAGTCCATGTGGAACTGCGGTGGGCGTCGATTCAACGTCCCAAACCGCTTCGAGTATTCCTTCTTGAAGTCGTGGATGTTTTGGGCGTTGTGGCGCAAGATGAAGTCGTCTTGCCGCGGTTTTGGCAGCGATCGACAGCTGTATTCCCGTCGGGGGGTGTATGGCCCATAGTCCTGAAGCACCTCGAGCATGAGGCGGCCCTTTTCATCCAGAACGTTGCGATTGCTTGGCGTTTTCGGCGGCGACGAAGACGGCTTTCCTGGGGGCTTGACCGTCGAAGTACACCGTCGGGTTGACATGGGTTTGTCTGCCAGTGGCCGGTGCAACTTGGCCCGAGACAGCGGGGACGCCGACGGACACTCTTCGATGCGCAGGTCGAGCTGTGACTCGGACAACGTGCTCCGCTCCATCCACAAGGGCACGCACGCCGTGAATGGTATTTTTATCGTAGTGTAACGGGAACCCAAAAAATGGCTCTCGAGGGTTTACCGAGCCAGCGGGGGAAGCACAAGAAAAACCGCAAGGCCATTGCGGATTCACATGAATAGCTAGGCGCGCAAAAATGTTATTATCTCGATCATGTCAAACAAGCAGCAACAGCATCGAAAGATGGGTTCGCGCATGCAGGACGATGCACCAACACGATGTGAATAGCTGCGTCATGTTTTATGCCGTGGATGGATCTGTGGAATAGTTGAGAATTGACGCCACAGGAGCGAGATGTTCGTTCTTGGGACCTCGAACCGATCGAATAGGCGAGGGGGTTTCGAGGTTGCATCCGAACACTGTATCAACTTGACCTGGATTTTATTTAACTCTTGAAGTACTGACAATATATAGGATCCGCGAATTCGAAACTAGCCCAACAACACAAGCAACGGATCGGATGGTCTATTTGGATCGTTTTGTCAGTGAATGGGGCTCACATTTTGGCGCACTCGGATTTCTAGATAGTTGTATACATTCCATGATCCCATGTACCGATGCATCGGAGATTTCAGGCGATTTGCCATGGGGAAAGCCGAAGTCGAGAGGCAAACATGTAAGGTTCAACTTATAGAGCCATGACGTTTAACTATAAAACGTCGTCACCATGCTCCATTTGTGTGGAGTCGACTCGAACATCGTTCAACTCAAGAGTTATCATCAAGACAATATCCTTTAATGTCTTACACGCATATCGACAGCGCAACGGCGCCGCATTGCAATTCACGCGGAGCCAACGGTTCGATCAACACTGGACTACTGCGTGAACTGAGATGGCCGAGACATTGTTGGCATCCCCGTCGGTTGTCATGCCAATGGCGGCTAAGCCAGGTGGCGAGAACGTTGTTCCTTTGGAGAGCCAACTTCCACAGAATCTCAAGTGCATGTCCAGGGAAGATATGTGTTCTACGCAATTACATGGCACAAGACAGGATCACAGGAAGCTATGTGAGCCATTCATATTCATGTAGGGAATACGTATGGCAAGTTGCCTCATATATTACTCTTGAATCAACTACTAAAACCTCACAGCCTTTTGCCGCGACCTTTCAGTCGCAACAGGTTATGAGCCCAACAGACATGTTCAAGACAAAATCATTTACAACGTTGTTACAGGAGGACAACTGGAATTCCTGGCGTACCGGATTCAAGCGTTGCATGCTCAGCAAGAAGCTCAAGACAGTGAACGACGCCGGAGTCGCACTGGCCCACGAGCGAGATCTGGCCGTGTCCAATGACGGCAACACCTCGACACCGCAAAGGCCGACACTGAGACCACAACCTCTACGGACAATAATGATGCCTACACTTTGGGTATCATATTCACATGCTGCTCGGAATCCCAACAACAATACGTGGTCGAGGCAGATACGTATGTTAAAGCATAGTGTGCACCGGACAGGCACCACGAACTGAAGCCTCGTTTCGACAGAATGGACACCATATCCAAACACTTCAGCATGAAGTGGAACACGAAGCAAAAAAACTTACCGCAGTACCTGGAACGATACAAGGTCGTTCTCTACAAACTGAAAGCGAGCGGCGACGCCATCCATGACTGGATGGTAGTCAACCGACTCCTGGACATGCTGCCATAGCAAATGCGCGCAGTTACCCACCAAGTCCACGCCATGCCAACTGCACCAGAACCTAGCCATCGTTAAAGCACTCGTGGAAGCGAAGTATGTGTTAATGTGGCACGATGATCAAGTGCTTGTTGGGCATGGTCATGAACATGGGCATGGTCATAAACATCAAGAAGGCCAGCCAATGTCGACAGTGGGGTCAATATCCCTCAAGTAGCCAAGAGACGAGCGGCCAGGGCTATCCAGTAGCATAGAGAACTCTCGTCTAAATCAATCACTTTTGCATTGTCAACGGCTTGGTCACTTACCTATCTGGACCTTTGGAACAGTATGGAGCGCTGTGCGGTCAGGCGCGCTTATCAATCCGAGGAGTGGAAGCAACGACGACCTTGCCCTCAACACCGAGGCTCCCAAGCCTGGCAAATGCAACTGGTGCTACAGCAAAGGATACTGGGAGGAAGCGTGTCGCTCCAAGAGGCGGGGAAACCGAAGTGGGCCAAAAGCACTAAAAAATCAGAACAAGAAGGATTCGGGGAACCTTTCCATTGACGAGGAAATTTGGAGGTTCGCGGCAATCGGCGTCAGAGAAGTCTATACACTGTCAGATATGCTTCGCTTTCCACCGGTCGATCCCCGCGACCGAGTTCTCCTTGATTTTGGGGCATTGACCCACATGACTGGGGATGTATCTCGTCGGACCAACATGAGACCTTGTGGCCGGACTGTCATTGTCGCCAACGGCGGCAAAACACACGTAACCAAAATGGGGACCATGTGGGTGGCCGCCAAAACCGGCGCAACCCTTGTCATGAAGGACATTCGAGTAATTGACGCAATGCCATCAGCGCTCCTGTCGGTCACTGCCATGATGCGGCGCGACCCGAAGTTCGCCGTCACACTTGACACTCACGGCTGCAGTATCATGCATGGCACCAACCCCGTCGAAACGGCTACAGTTGACCCAAATCGAAAGGTCTACGTCTTGGACCTTGCCGCAACAACCGAGTAACGGACACCCCCCCCCCAAGAAGATCATGCCTGCACAAGAAACGTCAGCACACTTGCACCAACGCGTGGAACACGTACCCACCGCAGCAATGAACCGATGCGGCGCAATGGGACTCGGAACGCCGAAGAGACTGCATGAACTAAACGCAAAATGTGAGTGTTGTGTCAAGAACAAGATTATCAGGACCTCACCTCCTAAGAAGCGCTTACGGTCGTTCCGCCCAGGGGAGTATTGGGTGTACGACACGAATGGCCTTATGCGGACCGAGTCAGTCGGGGGATGCCGGTACTATACCGTTTACGGTGATGTCGGATCAGGCACGAAAGTTGTCTGGTTCGTCAAGTCAACGGACTCTGTCACCCAACTGGAAAACTTCACCAAGTTCAAGTCCTGTTCAAAAGTCCAGACCGGCCGCAAGATCAAGATCTTCGGATCTGACGGTGGGCCGGAGAATTCGACCAAAACTTCAACGAGGCACTGAATACCTGAAAATTCTACAACAGACAACCAATGGCAAAATGGAATGGTTGAACGAGCTCACCGTTCCATCATGGAAATGGCAATGGCAATGATGTCCTATGCCGGCCTCACCAAGCAATGGTGGGCAGAGGCTGTGAACACTGCGGCGCCCCACGGCTCAACGGCCACCACCACTCCGATCGAGGCCTTCACGGGACACCGTGCCAGTCAGGAAAATTTCGTGTGTTTGGATCCATCGCCTACAACATTGTCTAGGAGCCTGAGAAAAGAGAGAAGCTCGCACCCAAGGCCACCAAATGCGTCATGATAGGATACGCTGAGGCCCAGAAGGCATACAAGCTAAACAACTTGGAACAACAGAAAATGGTGACCAGCGTCCTAGTCGAGTTCCGGGAAAACGAGTTCCTAGGCGTTCGTACACCTATCGACGAGTACCTAGTGAGTCATGATGACGACGACGAAGAAGAAGAATTTCCCAACAAGAGACAGTGGCCGTAAGGCCCACCCCTATCCCTGTGACAACGTCACACACCAAAGCAACACCACAAAGGCACTTCAAACCGTGTACAAGACCCTCAATACCCTCATCCTCCGTCACTTCAATGACGCCACAACCACAAATGGCATCGCGGAGCCACTTCACACCGGGCAAAAAACATTTAATACCCCTCATCACGCCCAGGACGAAGTCCCGGGAAATCTACTACCCCAATAATATGGCTGGCCTGAAGCCATCCACCTACTCTCGTCCTGACACCAGGATGACAATAGCAGGATTTGACTCCTCACCCGTTGGCATTCGCGGGATGGCCCTACGAGACAGAACAAGATTAGAGTCGCATCTAGATACTAAGACCAACATTAGATGCGGAGCAATCCTAGGCAATTAGCAAACATCATCCGCGACTTGGATGCCGCCACAATCAGTGACCGCGCTAACGTCGCCACGGAAGTCGACCTGGGCACCACCATGGCCATTGATGGCGTGGAATACGCCTGCTCCGTTTCGCTACTAATAGATGACACCCCTCAGAGCCACTATGAGGCTCTGCGACCGTCGGATCGTATCGAATGGACTAACGCCGAAGCACTTGAACTGAAACGGCTTCGCGACGCCGAAGCATGGCGGCTCGTCGACCTCCCACCCGGCCACAAGGCCATCAGCTCCCGCTCGAGCAATGTAAAGAAAACCAACTCTGCCTGAGATGTTGTCCGTTACAAGGCCAGCCTAGTGTGCAGAGGCTATTCACAAGGGAGGGCGTGGAACACAGACACATACTCACGGTATTCAAGATGGGGACAAATATTCAAGCATGCGCTGTCTTCGTATATATATATACTGTATATATATATATCCAACGGATACGTCTTAGTGCAGGCGGAAGCCGATAAACCGTTTCTCCAAGCCAAGGTGGACGAGGGCGTACTGCTGTACCTTGATCAACCGCCTGGCCATGACGATGGAACTAGCAGGGTCATGCTGCTAGTCAAGGCCCTGTACGGCCTCATGCAGGCATCACTCGCCTGGTTCGAGCACTGACGCAAGATCCCACTGTAAATTTCGTTACACCCCAACGCGTACGACTCTTGTCACAACCAAAGGTTGATGGCAGATAGCGTTGAGTACTTATGTGTATGTGAACAATTTCATCGTAATGACCAAGACGTGCACCGCTGCAGAAAATTTTCTCGACCACCTGGAAACCAAAACGAAACTCTAGCACTAGGGCAATGCATCCTACTTTCTGGGGATCAAGATCGACTATCAAGACTAAGTGCTCACCATGATCCAAGTGGCATACGCGCGCAATGTCCTCAATCGTTTCGGGATGGCCAACTACCACAGCTACGCCACCCCCAATGTCAAGACCGCGAAGACTTATGATACGACGACCAGTCACCGTCGACAGACAAATTGACCTACCGCTCCATGGTGAGCTCACTCATGTTCCCTGATTGTGTGCATCCGCACTGACATAGCGCACGCTGTGCATCATATGTCGCGTCACTTGCACGACCCTCGCAAGATGCACGTGATCATTGCCAAACACGTCATGCGTTATGTCAAGTTCACCATGGAAACGGTTTGGTCTTTCGGGCCGGCGATCGCAAACTCGTCGGCTACAACGGCGCGTCCTAGGCCAACCGCGACGGGCGCTAGTCGCCAACGCCAATAGGCTACATCTGCTTCGTGAGTGGCGCAGCTGTGTCATGGAAGTCTGAACGTCAACATGTCAAAGCACTCTCTAAATGCGAGGCAGAGTACATCGCCCTCGTCGAGTTGGTCAAGGAAGTCATGTGGCTCCGTGGGCTCCAACAAGGAATGGGATTAGGTCATAGTGCCCCGACCCTCACCTGGTGTTATTACAAGGCAACATCGCAACGGCCGCGGGAAGCGATGTGAGCGAGAGACGTGAGCACATGGACTTGCGCCTCCATTAGGTTCGCCAACTTGTCCGAGACAAGTCCATCGACTTCCGCCACGTTAGCACTGCCGAACAACTGGCGGATATCCTGACCAAGGTGCCGACCAAGGAAGCCATCGCGAAAACTGCTCTCAAGGCCGCCCCCCCGCTCAAAATAGCTGGTACTTGGCCCATCTTCCATGCTGGACGTCTTCCAGGCCGAATCGTGTTTTGACGCCTATGTGAAAGTTGTTCGCCACATTGAGCTGAGGTGGACCCCGATGGTTGGGGCCCGCCTGACCTCTACCGCCGGCGCAATCGCTGGAAAACTGCTCCCAATGCCGCCCACTCCGCTCAAAATAGATGGTACTCGGCCCACCTTCCATGCCGGACGTCTTCCAGGCCGAATTGTGCCTCGCCGCCGTCGCAATCGCCGGAACACAGCTCTCAAGTCTTCACCGAGTCATCCACGCCATTCTTTTCCAAAATACGCCCGAACTCTCAAGCGCCTAAGCACTTCCCACCCCCTTCCGCCCCGTCCTTTCTGAGGGCACACGCCTACACCGCCTCTCATTGGTCGCCTACCTTCTCCCCTACCTCCCCAGTTTCTAATAGGCGCGCGAATTATTTCGTCCCCCTCCCCTACTTCAGGCTAACCGTCTCCAATTTCCCACTAGTTTGTCAGGTTCTGGCCCATTGGAAACTCACCCCTTAAGTACAGTCCGCGAAATAATTATATACGCACATTGAAATCTTCAGTATATCGCGATCAATGTCAGATAAAAAATACACCAAGACTTCGGAGATTGTTTCCCATGAAGGGTATACCTCCAAGTCAAATTGATACAGTACCATATATACATTGAGCTTGAATTTGCCTACATTAAGGAGTATGGTTGAATTGACCCAGTCTGAGGCATCGGAAATATTTATATGCGCACTGCGTTTTAAATTTTCTAAATGTCAAAAGACGCATTCAAAATGGAAACAAATTGGTGCGGGGATTTGGCCAATGAATAGGGAACGTTGTGGCGCGAATCATCACAAAATTGGTCAACTGCGTATCATGCCAAGGGTCCCAAGCTCACAGGCATCAAAATGGATCAAATTTTGGCCTGGAAGCACGAGAAGATATCCAATCGTAAGATTGGACGTCGGCTCAAACATCCTGAGTCGTTAGTGCGTTGGTACCTGAAGTCCCCAGGCGCGTACGGTACGATGAAGCGGTCGGGAAGGCGAGTGAAGTTGACGAAGCGTGACATACGCCGCATATACCGCAATGCAATCGTACAAAACTTGTCAGCAGCGCAAAGCGCCAAAACACTATCGATGCGGGTGACTCCCCGCACTGTGCTGAACGTGCTGAAATCAAGCAAATTCATCAAATACGCGAAGAAGAAGCCAGCGCCGTATCTAAAGCCGCATCACAAGAAGGAGCGTCGTGTTTCGCGGCAAAGCACATGTCGAAGATGGATTTTTGGCGTCATGTTGTTTTCTCGGACGAAGTTCAACTTGGATGGCCCGGATGGATACCGCGCGTACTGGCGTGACCTCCGTGGTGACGAAAAAGTGTTCTCGAAGCGGGTCAGCGGTGGAGGCAGCGTTATGGTTTGGGATGCTGTGAGTATGTGCGCGAAGTCTGATATCGCATTCCTTGAAGGTCGACAAAGCTCGGAGAAGTATTGCAAGACGCTGGAGACGTATCTGTTCCCCTTTTTGGACGAAGTTCGAGAGTGTCTCGAAGACCAGATTGTTGTGTTCCAACAAGACAATGCATCTATCCACGCTTCCAAGGAGACAAAGAAGTTTCTTGGGCGTCTTCCTCATGGACTGGCCTAGCAAGAGCCCCGATTTGAACGTTATTGAGAAAGTTTGGGGTGTTCTAGCCGCCAT